TATTATATTACATAATCTGATTTATCCCCCAAAATTAATCTTCCACCGTCTCAAGTTTCATTAAATTCCTAACTCAATATATTACTATGTCTTTATATCAATCTCATGCTATGCAGATGCATAAATATATTCTAGAGCACATTCAGGTTATTTTAATTTCTTTTCCAATATTCTAATTGCTATAGTTCAAAGTGCTACTTCACTAGAACACCTTGCATAGTTTTGAATCTCTTTAATTCAAATACTATAAATATACCTATTTAACGTTATTATTTAATAAGTTAAATCATGTTTAAATTCCGTAGTCCTCACATTCCTTTCCCTCAGGATTTTCATCCTCGAAATTCATACATGATCATTTAATTTAGTTATGTAAGATTCATCTTTATCTCGTTTCCCATTTAGTTTAGCAGTAAATGAAAATTTACTGCACACCCGTGTTGATTTCTACTAAAACAGGCTAAAGGAATATATAAAAACTTTGTTCCCAAGTTAACAAAACTCCAAGCTACCCTATATTTCTTTATTTAATAAAAAGAGGTCAGTTGATTTTATCACTTAGCCGTCCTAAGTCCCCTGACCATTTCAGAAATCATGTCTTTTCATCTAGTATGTTTTCACTTTGATTTAATTGCTATCGTACAAATTACTTGTCAACTAATTTATTTATATAGACCTAGCTAATATTTATCATGTCTAAGTTTTAGCTTTCAATAAGTTATGTATTGTTTCTTCACCGATCTAAGAGCATGCATCACTTTTTATTTTCTTCTTGTTTCCTCATTTTCGCCTTGTTACGTATCATTTTTTTTTGACTTATTACATACTTTTTTATTCTCTTCTTTTTCTTTTGTTTAACATTAATTTAATACCCCTTATTCTATTTTTATCACTATTAATTTCGCATTACTAATATTAATCTAACACATAAATTTCAAGGATATTACAATTTGTAACTAATCTTTTTTTATTTTTTAAATTAATCTTTTTATATTTTTTAAATTAATCTTTTTTTTATTTTTTGAAAAATATATCAAATAGAATCATCTGTAAAATAATATTAACATATATTATTGCATGTATACAAACTTGGTTTCGAATTGTATTTGTAGTATAATTATTTAGTAACTAATCTCTTTTTATTTTTGAAAAATATACCAAATGGAATAATCTGGAAAATAACATGAACATACATTTAATTTATCCAGGCTTAGTTTCGTATTGTATTCCCAGTGTAATTATTTGGTAATAAATATATTTTTTTGTTATTGGTAACTAATCTATTTTTATTTTTGGAAAATATATCAAATAGAATCAACAGAAAAATATTATTAACATATGTTTAATGTATCCAGACTTAGTTTTGAATTGTACTCATATAATTATTTGGTAAATAATCTCATTGTTTTGGTAATTAGTCTCTTTTTATTTATGGAATATATAATAATCATCTAAGATATAATATTAACATACTTGTAATGTAGGTAGACTTGGTTTCGAATTATATTCATAATATAGTTATTTGGTAACAATCTTTTTTTTGGTAACTAGTATCTTTTAATTTTTGGAAAATATATCAAACATAATCATCTGAAAAATAATATTAACTTACGTTTAATGTATCCGGACTTAGTTTCAAACTGTATTCTTAATACAATTATTAATTTGATTATTAATGTTTCTTTATGTCATATATTTATCAATAATTTCCAAAGACGTGTTCATTTTTTTGAAATTAACTATTGGTTAATTACTTAATTCAATTTAATAATTTTACGTATTAGTAATAAACTTTGAACTGTTTAATAAAGGAGAATTTTGGTGACGACACGTGGCGCAATTTGCTAAAAATTGCTCTCTGGGCGACACCTGTCGATTAAGAACTCTGCTTTAATATATACTAGTATTTATCCCGCACGTTGTGCAGGTTGTCGATGTGTTTTATTATATTAAGTACATTAGAAATAGATTTCAATATTTAAAATCTTCCAATGTACTTTCTCCGTCTCATAAAAATAGTCCACATTGAGTTTTGAGTTTTGCATTGTTTTTAGTACAAATTTAAAAACTCAATGTGGACTATTTTTTTGGGATGGAGGTACTAACTTATTGTCCATCTTTTTCGTTTTATTGATTTATGGCTTTATATTTTTAAAAATTATTCCCTTAACTTTTTTATAATGATTTTTCTAAATATTTTTACCCGTATCGCATGTTTTAAACACTCCCTCTAAGAGAAAATTTTCTCATTATTTCTTTCCATAAACTTATTTTTATTTTCAATCTTTTTATTACCTTTTACAACATTTCTTTAGAAGTTTGTTCGTATAGTGTTTATTTTATTTTATTTTTTGTTGCATAAAATTCACCTCTTTTTTCTCTAAATTTAATGACGTATTTTTGAAGTTTCGTTTCTTTAAGAACTTGTAATAATTATTTATTTTTCAATATCGGTTTCGTTTTTCATATTTTCTTATTCTCTACATAATTTTTTATTTCATATAATTATTTTGAATATCTCAATATACTTTTCTTCTACTATTTATTTCTCACAAAGACCTTTATTTATTTTTTTTTGTCATTTTGAAAAATTTTCTCCCTATTCAGTTTCACATTTTGTTTTTTCATCATAACGTTACAATTTTTCTTTTATATGGATAAAGCTAGTGTAATGAAACATATTATACTATTATATTAGTATTCTTTTATTATATTATTTTCATAATTATTATTCAAAATTTGGTTGATTAGTATATAATTACATTATTATATAATATAGTACACATTATATTATTAATATTCTTTTTTCTACTCACGCATCTCCATCACCACTCTCTATTACTACATTAACATGTAACCATAACCATTATATTATTAGTATTCTTTTTTCTACTCACACATCTCCATCATCACTCCATTACAATATTAATCATTAGAAACCCAACGCCAAGCAGGATCTCCATCAGCCACGCACCAACTCGATCACCCTTGCGTATTGAACCAAGCAGCAGCCATGAAGCCCTTGAAGCTTGCGAGACCTTTCTTCTTGGTTCCTCTGTTCTTGATTTATTTTAATTTTTTTAAGACTTCAGAGATGTTGTCAATTAATATTGTTGAGATACTTTTCAATGATATTTAGTTATTAGATTATGTTTAAATTTAATACTTATTTTCCCACATAAATAAACCAAGTAAAATAGATTATTTATAGATTTTAGGGATTTACAAATAAAAAATTATCGTTAAATGATGGAGTGATGAGATTGCGACATGTGAACTTGGCTATTTAATTTTACGTCATGTGGATTAGTCTATTTAACTTTACGCCATGTATCTGATTGAAAACTCTCCTTTAATATACATAGAGATATAGATATAGATATCCTAACAAATAATTGATCATAAAAATGATCATTGGAGTGGTTATCGTGTATATGTATTCCAATTGAAACGGCTGAATAAAATGATAAGAGTGAAAAGTTATAATTATAGCTGATGTTGATCACCTGTTTTTTTTTGTCTATACTTTCAGGAGCTGATAAACTGTATTAAAAGATGGCTGAATGTTTATGATTTTCTTGTAAGTTTGAGAACAAGACTGAGCAGACTGATGAAATTATGGTAGGGTAAAAAAGCAAAGCAGAAGCTTTTTTTTTTTTACTGTTTAAATGCAGCCATTTATCATCTTTGGATAGAAAGAAATGGAAGGAAATTCAGGCAGAAATTTAAAGAAGCAGGTGACAGATTGAAACAGAAGGAGGAAATATTCTGTAAAGTTTATATGTATTGTCGAAAGGGAAGTGGTGATGACATTCGATACTTTAAATCGATTGGTATTATTACTTGAAAATGTAATAAATTGACTTAGTTTGTACATGAACTCTGATGTTTGTACATAATACAAATTTTACCATTTACCAAAAAAAAAGTTATAACTGTGAGATTATGGGTTCAAACCTTAAGAAAAGCAAAAAAGATTTTCAAAAAAAAAAAAAAGAACAAAGAAAAGAAAAAGTATTTAATCTAAATGGTGATATCGTCTATAGATCTAAAAACATATTAAAATATATTTGGAAAACATCGGTTGTTTTTTGATTATTCTTTTGATTTGTATTTACAAGACAAAATGTAATACTCTCTAAGTCTCAAAATTATTGTCCAATTTGGACATTCATTTTTAGTTCAAGTTATAATTAAAATGAAAACTAGATGATAATTTTAAGACGGAGGAAATATGTTTTAAAATCAACTTAAAAGATTTGGAACACTGTTGGGTGACAAGAAATTGGGCAAATTTGCTCCACCAAAAAATACTCCCTACTAAATCCAAGAAGGCAAGTGTTTTGTGTACTCGTCACCAGATGTAGCTTTTCGGTAATTGCATCATTCTTAGCTTTCATGTATGCGTTTAGCTAATCATTTGTTTGATTTAAAGAGTACCCATATAATTACTTCAGTGTATCAGTATCAATTTTACAATTGTACATTTTCGATAGTTAATCCGTACTCCAGTCTTTCATTTCCATGCTCAATCTTTTCTAATCTACTTGCTTCTCTATCTCATAATTTCCTTTGCAATGATATACAAGAAGATTACATACGTAAATTAACCTCAAAATAGCGTTTAACAATTATAAGCTATTTATATACAGCACATATATTAAGTTAGGTTTCTAAAGTTACTTCACATTTGATTCTCCTAACTTTTCAGTTTATGAAAGTTTAGTATTTCGATAATGATAATTTTTTAAAGAGATTTAAAGAATTTCGAGCAAGATTGAAATCTAGAAGATTTTGAGAGAAAAACTCATTCAAAGACATCAACCCAAGTCCAGAAAAGAGTACTAGTTTCGAAACCTTTTCACAGGGAATGGGGTTCTATCATTATTTTCTAAAATTATTGGGAAACAGATCCAATTTGAAGAAAATATAGGGTTAGATTGAGCAAATTTTAACAGATAAATCCGTCGCGGTTCTTTGTCGAATGCAAAAACCCCTTCAAAAGGCATAAACCCCATTTAACGTATCATCTGCTTCTCCCCTCCTTCCATGGCCGCAGCTGGAAGCTCTTCCGCCACTTCTTCCATTGCCGAAAAACCCAATAAGCCGTAATCAGCTACTTCATTATGCATCTCCTTCCCCGTAATAGGCCTCACACTTTAAACAAATCCACCGGAATCATCATGTCAGGCTGCAAACACTTGGTGTCTGTCAAGTCTCTTCCGCTGCAACCAACTCCGGCGCCAAAAGCCGCCTACTATTACGCCAATTCTTACCCTCTCAAATCTGGAAATTTCATAATTTCTAGGATTTTCTCGAAACCCATTAGCCCCATTTCCTGTAGAAAGCATCGGTTCTCTTATACCTCGCGTCCCTCTATTCCGTTACCAGGTATATATTTGTTCCTCTTTTCTCTTTTAAGATTTTCGTCTGAAAGTTTTTTTGATTTTTGATTGTTGATTGTTGTTTGTGGGTTGCCCCTCTGTTTTTACGCTTCCGGGCAACTCTTGTTCTGATTATAAGTATGTCAGCGCATCTGAGAGCCTAGGGGGAGCTGGAATTGCAAAAAGTGAAATTACTTTTGGTCATAAGAGCTAAGAAAAGTTTGGATATCGAGATGATTTTAGAGTTATGCGTACGTGTTTGGTCCTTTTTCTGTTTTCCATTTTGTATTTCTTGGTTGTGGTTGGGTTCAATCTACGAACTTGCAGCGCCACTCGGTCTTTCTGCGGTTTGTTAATTTCTAGGTTTCCCATTTTTCGCAGGGAAGCTCGTAATGCAAACTTTATTTAGTATATATGTTTGTCTTTGTTGGATGTTCTCAGATACTGTTTAAATTTTACATGGCCATGATTGGATTGGAAGGTTTTGTTTTGCCCATGTTTTTAACAGCTCTCTTGGTTTATTTTTTATTGTCATTTTCAATCCCTGTAGTGACATTGGATAAGGAAGAGCTAGAAGAATTAAATTCACCAGAATTAAGGTTGTTGAGGATCAAATTAAGCCAGATTGGAATCCACGCTGATTCTTGTAAGCCTGGGCAGTATAGTGGCCTTCTTTGTGCTCAGGTAAGGCTCCTGAAAACTTCTCTGCTCTTTTAAGGTTCCCTTCTTTTAGATGTCATTGTAGTTGTGTGTACTGCAATAGTATAGTTCTCTTCGCTATTTGTTTGGCTTTTATTGCACTTGGAGCTTAGATGACTTGTTCGTGCTGATATTTGCCAGTTCTATTATTTTATGTCTGTAAGTTTAGCCTTTGTGAATAGATTGATTATTGGAGTTGGGTTATGTGTCTTTAAAGTTCCCGATGAATATTTGGATTATTCAGCCACTGTTTCTTTCTTCCTTTTGAAAAATGTATTATTTTTCCAGATTTTCAACCCCTAAATATGTTATACGAAAGCCATATATTGTTAATGAGGAAATGTGAGAAGCGATAAATGGCATTATGCAAGTTTGGAGAGATTTGTCAAAATATAAATGCTTTGCAATAAGCCGAGCTAAAACTTAATATTTGGACTGCCATTTTAGTATCCATAGGAGTACTGATATTGTAAGTATGCATATAAAAGATTTAAATATTTGAAATTCATCTTCCAAGAAACTGGGGGAATGTTGAGGCGGACGTGCAATACTAGGTTAGGTATGATTAGTAGTAAATGTGTCAGAAGGAATGTGGGGTAGGTCCAATGCATGGGAGCGGCAAGTGCATGGGAAATATTTAGTTGCCCCGAGAAAATGAGTAAAAGCTATAGTCATTACTGCAAATTTAAAGGGAGAAAGGAAGACCTAAAGGAGTAAAAAGAAACAATTAAAAATATATTATCTTCTTTTTTTTTTTTTTTTTTTTTTTTAATTTTAAAGCAAAATATGTGTTTAAGAGCATGTAGGCATCTAACTATCCATATAGCTGATTATCAAGGCTAAACCTCTTGTCACTGTAGTTGATGTATTTTCAAGTTCCCAAGTTCTTAAGTTTAGAGATAAAGATCCCAAAAAAGTTTCGCAGGATGGTAATGTTTTGAGATTGTGCTAAAGTTGCTGGATCAGTGGAGCTCCAAAGTTTTACGTATGCTAGCACGATACAAGTCTTCATAAGTAATTCCAGTGATCAGTGGAAGTATTTTGGAAAATTGAAGTCTTTGATCTTGAGTTTTGGGACCAGTAAATGCTCATTCCTAGTTTCCGCAAGGAGTCATTTTGAACAATCAATTGACATCCCCTCTCTCTCTCTCTCTCTCTCTCTCTCTCTCTCTCTCCCCTCTTTTTGTGTAGTGCAAGGGTGGAGACTCAATGGAGAAAAGCTTATCCCTTTTCATCACCCAAGATGGGTAATTTCACAATTTTTTTGATGTGCTTATTTCGTTACATCAATGTGCCTATTTCAATATTAAGGTTTTTGACATCCTTTTAAATGGCTCAGAAACGAAGCTTTGTGGACCTGCTTTCGTGGTAAATGTGGGTGGAAAGGAAGGATGAAGGTACTTGAAGATTTCAGTTTTCCATCTTTGAATGTTATTTCTTTTCTAATCAGATCTTTGTCACTTTTTCTGATGTTATTATAATTTCAGGCTTTTGCTGATACAAAATCCACTTACGGAAGTATGAGTAAGACCTCTACTGTCAAGAAGAAGTACAGAGAGATCACAGAAGAGAATTTGGGCTTGAAGCCTTTGTCTATTGAGGTAAGCTGTCTTTTTCTATTTAGCTCTTATGCTAAGAGAAATGTTGGTCGACCTACAATTTGGGCTGAAAAGCTTCTGTTTGACGTGAAGGGGTCTAGTTTTTCTAAGGTTTTATATATGAAGAGCACCATAGTCTTCTGAAAGATGACCTGTCTCTCTTACAGAGTTTCTTTGTTTTGACAACAAGGAAATTTCGTCAAGTTTCTACCGTCTTAGGCATGAATACATTGAAGCCATCTTCATATCTTATAATTTGGTACCGTGTTGAATATGATAAGCTAGTGGTGTCTGGGTTCTATGCATATGGTGATATCTTAGAGATACCCATTTTGACCTAATAGGTTAGATATATATCTTGAAACTACTCATTGTGACTATTAAGATTGCATTCTAAGATTTTGGATTTAATAGTGGTGAATTTAGTGTTGAAGAATCAATCAACAAAAAGCTTTCTTCTAGGTTTGCTTCAGGTGCCATCATACAATAAATGAGGGATAACTATAGTTTTTTGTTATTGTTTTTGGTTTTTTTATTTTTTATTTTTTTTTTAAACTTTGTCTAATTTCTTTGGCATTAAAGGAAGCGTTTACGAAATACTTTTAGCTTGAAGCAAATGCTTGTAGTTGATAATTGCTCATCAGCTAACTGATTGTACTAATCTGTTCCAAATTTATTTGAAATATTAAGAAGTGAGCTAACATGGTTAGAAATGATGAAGTTTAACTGGGAACCCAGGGGATATATCATGGGCATTTACCATTATTTGTGAACGTAAAATATACATAACTATTCCCTGATTCCGAGACCCCAAATAACTAGTGGGTGGTTTGTTCAGGAAGTATTCTCCCACATTCTCAATGCTTGCATACATCTAAATCAATGGATAATAAGTTAGAACCTAGGAATTTAGGAAGACCCGCCAATATGATACATTGTGCATAAATAACTTTTGGTATCCTTTTTGCAGTCATATACAGTGTATAACCATGACTTTGAGACTTGATAATAAAAAGAAGTATTTGTAATTATAATATGTGATGGACTGGATTGGCGTTTCTTTGAATAAGCGCCTTCCATTTCAATTGTACATTTCTACATCTTTAGGTTTGAACTTAGGGAGACATGGAGGAGATGCCTATTTAGAATCAATGACATAAAACTGTTTTTAAGCAGAGAAACCTGCTAGATACTAACATGGACAGGAGTACAGATGAATAATGTCTCTGGTAGACATAATAAACGATGATGGGTGGGGTCTAAGAAGGAACAGAGAAGTAGATAGACTGAGTGAAAGGAAGCAGAGAACTTGGAAGTCTTTAAAGCCGCATTAGCTATAATTTAAATGTAGGTGACTTTGTGCAAAACATGAGAAAAAATTAGATAGGGATGATAAGGTTGCCACTGAGGATGTTCCATGGTGTGCATTTTGGGGAACAAAACTTATGTTGTATGGTATGCTTTTTGAGGAACAAAACTTTTATTTATCTTTTCCGTAAATGGGTGTTCTTTGTTTTCCCTTTGAATTATACAATGATGTGCTTGATTGTGAAATTTGACTACTTTATTGTGGAATTATGAAGTATCTGGACTAGATTTTCAGTTTGGTGCCAGATTTAATGATTCAAACATGTGATATCATCTTACTCTTATTCTAGCTTCTGAAGTACTTTGCTGAACGGATGATATCTGAGGAAACTTTGCGGAGGAACTCTGTGATGGAGAAATCGTATCCAGATCAGGTATTTTATTTATTGTTGTCTCATGGATAGCATTAGACTCTTTCTTTTACTCTTATGAAGTGGCATGAACCCACATGCTTGTTTTCTTTTCTCTTTCCTACATTTCTTATGGCAAAGAGACAAAGTATAAGTAATGAGGCTTGTTTTCTGCTGATATACAGGTTGTGATTGCATTTCCTTATCGGAGGAATGGAGAACTTGTAAGCTGCAAGTACAGGGATATTTCCAAGAAGTTCTGGCAGGTTGTAGCAATTATTATTGTTTCTTGATATGTTAACTTACCCCCGAGACTCAATTCAAATCCATAATGATTACTATACCAAATTACAACTCAAATCATCCTGTCTGGCTAGACGTGTTGTGTCTATCAGAAATATGTTGGCAACTGGGAAAGGTTTCTCGTGCAGTTTTAGCATGCAGAAACACTATTTCGCTAATTACTTAAAACTGTTGGCCTTAGTCTATAGTTCAGATTCTCATGATTGGCATACCGTTAATTCTCAGGAGGCGGATACTGAGAAGATATTCTATGGACTCGATGACATAAAAGGCGCAAATGATATTATCATTGTGAGTATGGAGTTTCCCCTTTGGGCTGTTGCCTGGATATGTACTCTCGTGTTAATGTTCTGTAATTACTTGCCTGGATATGTACTCTCGTGTTAATGTTCTGTAATGACTTTACAGGTTGAGGGTGAGATGGACAAGCTTGCAATGGAAGAAGCTGGATTCCGGAATTGTGTGAGTGTTCCTGATGGTGCACCTCCCAAAGTTTCATCTAAAGAATTGCCATCCGAAGAACAGGTCTGTACCAGATATTGTACTTATCATGCATTTTGTTCTCTGGTTCTGCTGGCACGGGGTCGGAAATTTATCTTGTATGTTGATGTTGATGTTGTTCTGGCGTTGATGTTGTTCTGGCATTGATGTGCCAAATTTAAACTAATTCTGCACCAGTATGCCTTTTTGGTGTAAAATGCAATCTACTTCCTTTTTGTTAAGACTAATGAAAAAGGTTTTTGTTATGTTCCATACATTTATACTAGGCGTTGCACTTTGTATTCTGTGGCTACTGTATTTGCAATGACTTTTTTGAGACTGTTAAAATGAATAGAGCCTTGATAAGAATGAGAGGAGAGCTGTCTCTGATCTTTTACTGACACGACAAGATGCTTTTCATGAATTTCCTATTAAGCACCGTGTCTAATGGTTTTTTTAATTGTATTTTTGCAAAGTTAGGACACCAAGTACCAGTATCTTTGGAACTGCAAAGAATACTTGACGAAGGTTAGCTGATGCCTTTGAAGTTTTTTATTTTCTCTTGGAAAACATGGTTGAATGTGGCTCCTTATTGCTCCTTGATGGCTATCTTTAGGCCTCTCGAATTATTCTTGCTACTGATGGTGATCAACCTGGCCAAGCTTTAGCGGAAGAACTTGCACGGAGATTGGGAAAAGAAAGGTCTTGTATTTCTTTTTTCTTTTTTTCTCCACCGGCTTTCTGTGTTTTAACTTTTGAAGTTTCACATGACTTCTCTGACTGAATCTCTCTTTTGCCATGGTTTAAACAGGTGCTGGCGGGTTAGATGGCCGAGAAAGAATGAGGTTGAACATTTCAAAGATGCAAATGAGGTCTGCTATCTGTACTTACCTTTATTTTGCACTTATGGTAGATTAGGAATGAAAGTTGCACCAATAAATTTGGTGATCTGTCCTGTTAATGCGATGTTTCTCTTGATAAGGGAATATATGCTCTCCAACCGCCCTCCTCATGAATGGGCTTCTCCAATCCCAGAGCGAGCTGGGGGTTGTTTGTATGGGAAAGGGTCTTTGGTGTTATCTTCTAAATTGTTTGACTTCAAGAAAGTGATTCTTTATCAGCAGTTTCTCAACATGCATGCATTATCACATGTTACTAGTCTATATCACCTGATACGGCTTTGATTTGTTAATGTTCCGGCTGTTGCATGAAAGTGGTTCTTATTTGTGTTTTTCGGATTCACCAGCTGCCAACATTGAAAATGATAGGTGCTTATGTATTTGGGACCTGGTGAGCTGAGGGAAGTTATTGAAAATGCAGAGCTATTTCCAATTCGAGGATTGTTCAATTTCCAAGATTATTTTGCCGAAATTGATGCATATTATCACGAAACTATTGGTCATCTGCTTGGGCTTTCAACTGGATGGAAGGCTTTGGACCAGTTCTATAATGTAAGTATAACTGTAGAAGAATGGCCTTCTCTCTCTACTTCTCATTTTACATAATTTTTCCTGACACTGAAAGATACCTTGAAGTAGGTTCGTCTTGCGGGTTTCCAGCAAAAATTGGTTTGAATGCTTTTTGTTGGTTCAGAATGTAATTTTTCCTACAGTATCTGATGATATGGATTATATGGGAAAAGAAAATGTAAATGTACCTCTGTTTGGAACTTCATAGCTAGAGCAGTTTTTGATGTTTGTGATGACGTGCCGATACTGACTTGGGGCCTTAAGATGTGAGTAGTTAATCTTCCATGGAATTGTAAATGATTTTCAGGTTTTTTAAGAAGTATAAAAGAAATAATTCTGTAAAAGGGGTAGTATAAAAGGTTTTATGTTGTAGTAAGATATTTCACTTGACTGCTTGTTAAAGTCAACCGAACCAAGCTTGATCTGTAATCCTTGCTATCTGAAGGTTGTTCCTGGAGAGTTGACCATTGTAACTGGAGTCCCCAATTCGGGAAAAAGTGAATGGATTGATGCTCTTTTATGCAATCTTAATAGGAGCGCTGGCTGGAAATTTGCATTGTGCTCTATGGAGAACAAGGTATGCAGACTTTGTCATCTTTCTTATTGTTCTTTTTCCTGGGATGGTTCCCTGGACAGATTACATTTGTCCAAAAATAATCTTGGCACTGTGGTTTTGTTAATGTTGATGGATGTCAACTAGTTGCATCTGGAAACTCCTTCACATCCAATCCTGGGATTCTGGACATGATAGTTTTGTGAGATTTTTTTTTTTATTATTTAGTTCTTTGGCAATCTTTGTGACGATTTAACCTTTTTAGAAGTTCTTGGGCCTAGAGGCTGCACTAATGTCGCTTTTTCTGTGGGCTGTTTTCAGATTAGATCCCCATTAGGGCTTTTTCTGTGGGCTGTTTTCAGATTAGATCCCCATTAGGATTTTTAAATGGATAATCTGAGGGATGAGTTTGAGAATTGTTAGGGAAACACGACATGTTTGTTCAATTGTCTAACATTGTACATGGTCAATGATCAGGTGCGGGAACATGCACGGAAACTTCTGGAGAAACATGTTAGGAAGCCTTTCTTTAAAGTGGGGTAAGTCTTGTAAAACAAAGCTTTATAATTTAAAAGAAGTTTTCTCAGAACATAATGTTCGGTTATGATCCTGATTGCCGACTCCACATGGTGGGATAACTGGCTTAGTTGTTAACAATATCCTGGGCTGTGGTTTTCAAGGTGCATCCTATCTTTTCTCATGAGTTGTTACTGGATTCATGGCAGCATATTAAATTTCTGGGATTTTGATATAAAGAATGGCAGAGAATATGGGAAATTAGAGAGTTTTAAAGAATGCAATGAAGAGAAAGTATCTTCTTTCATGTTATGAAATTCATCTTGCTTGATTATTGCTTTAAGAAATATATTTAGAATATGTTTCTACAGTCAGATTCGTTTTGTTTGAACTGTGTCCAAATTGATTGCTGGAGAGCTATAATCAGAGCTCAACTGAGCATCCCAGTGATAGGGGTAAAGTTACTTATCATATCTATTTAGAATTTAGCTTAACCTGGAACCTATGAGGAAAGTGCCTAAAGTCTCCTTTTCTTGTTTGTCCAACACTCATTTTGCCTTTTTGTCTCATTTTACCTCTTAAAACACCTCTCAAACACAAATCCCAATACTATCCAAACAACTTTTTAATTTACTTTTGAAAAAATATTCCAAAAATTATTTTTACACAATTTTCGTCCACCACACCGGAACACCTCCACCACCGGACCGCCCCTTGCTGCCGTTGGACCACCGGCGGTGGCGGCGGCGGTGGAGGTGGTCCGGTTGTGGTCTAAAAATATTACTTTTTTGTTTAAAATATTACCCAAACAACTTTTTAAATTTTATCTCAAACCACATTTTAAATCACATCTCAAATCCAAATAAAAAACTAAAACAAAATGTTAGCCAAACAAGCGTGTCCTTAATGTAAATTACCCTATTTGTTTATCACCGACCTCTCAGCTATTAACAAGTTAAGGCATCATTATGCATCCCCCATTACAGGATGCAGTGGCAAGGTTTCCAAGATTTTGCTAGTAAATCTTGTTATTATGGACCTTTAGCTCCACACCGTCGTTCGTTTTACTTGTGTCACTGGAATCGTAGAACCAGCTAGAATAAATTGCTGGGGCCTTGATGCTTTTCTTATTTTCTCCTTGCAACGTTGATCAGGAAGTTCAATATTCTTGATTCTTTCTTTAAATAAAAACTGATGTGATGTCAGCTGCTGTGCTTGGAAAAGGTGATGACGATTGGGTCTCGAGTTTTATGACTTCTTAAAAGGACAACACCTGGAGCTAGCATTGTACCGTTGCCATGGAAGAATAATGGAATAAGAGTCCATTAATTCTCAACTATTCTCAATAAAGAAATGGACTGGAATCTAGAAATTCAGACCATTAACTAATTTTTGTGCAAATGTGGCTTCTAAGCAATAAAAACAAAGGAATATATGCATGGTTGTGATTTTAATAAATTCCTGTACCAATCTTTATAAACATATGCTGCCATTGTAAGTAATATTGACCAGTTTTCTGTGTAAATGTGGTTTCTAAAGCAATAAAAAACAAAGGAATATATGTATGGTTGTGATCTCAATAACTTCCTGTACCAATCTTTATAAACATATGCTGCCATTGTTAGTAATATTGATCAGTGGCTTTAGATTGGTAAAGCCAGTCTTTGCTTCAGAAATTGTATCTGGATCTTTTCCATTGCGTTATTTTTCTTTGGCTTGGCATTTTGCACAGAGTGGTTGATTTGCTTCTCTGGTACTTTTGACAAATAGGTATGGATCATTTGCTGAACGAATGAGTGTGGAAGAGTTAGAAGAAGGAAAGCAGTGGCTCAATGATACATTTTATCTAATAAGGTATTTCATTATTCTTGTTTTTATAATTCATTAATCGAGAATTGAATTTTTTTTCCCAATAAACTGCAAAGAATTCCCCCTCATTGTGGAACAGGTGTGAGAAAGACTGCCTTCCAAATATAGAATGGGTTCTTGACCTCGCCAGAGCTGCCGTTCTCAGGAATGGCATAAATGGTCTTGTTATTGATCCGTATAATGAGCTTGACCATCAACGTCCTGTTAGCATGTGAGTAAGCAGCAGTAATCTTTCATTGCCTCGCTTCATATAGTCTCTGAAAAATAATTTCTCTCAACTGAGAGAATTTATGCTGTCAAGATTTTTTTGTTTGCGGTAGCTTTCACCTGTGGAAATTTGCCCATTCCCTCTTATCACACTCATAATGGGCATGCTTTTTTTTTTTTTAATAAGTATTTCTTTCTTTTTTTTAAAGGAAATAATCTTCTTTCGAAATATGGTCTTCAGTGGTATCTGTTAAAATAAAGTTTGCAGTTTACACTTGCTTTGCAAATTATTTTTTGAAATAAATAACTTTTCTTTCCTATAATACTTCCTTACTTCCTTGTTGCTTGATTTATGATTTCCCTTCGTTCACAGACATCCAAAGGATATAAGTTGTTCTTTTAAACATGAAAACAAGTCTGTTGAAGGGAATTAAAGAATTTAAAGTTCATTGAGTCGAGGCTGGTATAACTTGTATCAGAAACCAATTAAAACATACCATATTAGCCAATTTTGATGCACATTTTCCATGTAATTATACAATAAAAAGAGCTATGTGATACTGAGTTATTGGGTGGCTTATAGGATAATAACTGGCTCTGCTTGATAAAAGTTGGGGCTTGTATAGCTCATATCAGTGACCAATTAAAACATATCATGTTAGGCTATTATCACGATACACATTCTCCACGTGATTATACAATAAAAAGAGCTGATGTGATACAGAGTCATTGGGTCGCTTAGAGGGAAATAACTGGCCCTGCTTGATAAAAGTTTAACATATTGTCATATCTACTGTTAATAGAAGCATTTTCACTTACCAGTGTTTGGAACTTCCTTCTTCTCAACAAAACCAGCTCCTGGTATTGTTTCTTCTGAACGACAAAGTGGTTTGACAGCCCTTTGGCATTTATTTGGAAGTTCTGAACTTGAACTTTTAGGCAGTATTCTGGCAGGTAGTTTAGGTAATTCCTAGGAAATGAGAACAAGGTTGATATGTTTAAGATATCTCTTCAGCACTGTTAGATTGAGAGGGTAACCCATACAATCATATACCACTCTAGTGGGTCCCCCAGTTGTCAAAATTGAAGACGGATATCTAAACTCACATCTTGGATCATGGCTAGACCCTTATAATGTGGAGTCCTTGGAATTGAGAGCATAGTAGTTTACAAAAGCTTTAGGGTAATAAATAAAACAAAATCCACTTATCCTTGTCAATATGATGCTCTAAATATTGCACTATTTTCTCTGTGTCGATTAGCTGGACTTATATTGCATTAGCTTCAGAATAACTAATATGTACACAGAAGATTCAAAAAAGTGACTGGTCTTTGAGAATAAGTGTGATTATACAATTTTCATGCATTAATGTTTCTTCTAACAGGACTGAAACAGAGTATGTCAGTCAGATGCTTACGAAGGTCAAACGATTTGCCCAACATCATTCATGTCATGTTTGGTTTGTTGCACATCCTAGACAGGTTAGCAATATCTCGACACAATTTTGGTTGGAGATTGTCCTAATTAAAAGGTTTATCCCATATCAGTTACATATTTGTGTAACTTTTGAACAGTTGCATAATTGGGTTGGTAGTCCTCCAAATTTATATGACATCAGTGGAAGTGCGCACTTTATAAACAAATGCGACAATGGGATTGTCATTCACCGAAACAGGGATCCAGAAGCTGGTCCCATTGATGAAGTTAAGGTGAGCTTTGGGTTTTCCCTTTTTATATTGATTATTTCAAAATTATTTTGTTTTGTTTTGCTGTTGATTGGGATGAAGGATACATATATAAAGTTTTAATATTCTACTCGCAGGTTTGCGTGCGGAAAGTACGGAATAAAGTTGCTGGAACAATAGGCGAAGCAAGCTTGACTTATAACAGGTACGTACACTTGTCTCATCATGCACTGGTGTGATTCTTCCAACTACTTCAGTTTTCTTATGGAATGGGTTTTCTTCTTTGTTGATTGTAATCATCCAAGTTTAGGTTTGATAGTTTTGTTTGCTTAGGGATTGTGTTCGTCTAATGCATGTCTTACCTTAGTTCACAACTCATTGACCTATTCTCTCTCGGAGCTAGGTGTATAACTTACCAACTCTTCTGCTCAATAGTCATTTGAATGACGTTTTCAATAGTTTTGATCCTCCATGAAGTGAACAAAAATATACAGGAGACAAGGTTCTGGCTGAATCCCCCTTTTCTCTTCTGGATCCTTTCCGTGAAAAGTAGTTTTTGTAATTTGTTTTCAGTAAGCAAATATAGAGGGCTGATATATGTGGTTTTCTGAATTTATATAGTTGATGAATGAACAAAAGAATATTTAAATTTGGTACTTGGTAGTACTTTAAATATGGAGAAGAACGATTTTCATACCAATCTATCTTAAAAGTATGCTGTGTATCTGATCCAAAGCTCTTCTCTAAATTGAAGTGTAGATTCTAAGAGCATCTAAATGCGTTATTTGTTTTATGCATTGGAAGCGGAAAACTGATCCAAAATCATAACACATTACTAGCCATACATGGATACTTATAAGCATATCACTTTTTGGAGAGTAATGGTGATATGCAGAAGATAGATAAGCTAAGTATATGACATGCCCCGCCAATATGGTGACAATCTGCCTCGTCTTGCTTTGCGCACTTGTGAAAGTTCAGTTAGCAGATTGAATGGCTATTAGCCTCAGTTTCGTGAAACCGCAGCTCCCAAAACTGTCCTCAAAGCCAAACAATCAGGCATTCAGAGGACAGGGCTTGACATCAAACTCACTAGGGATTTGTATGGTTGAAATTGCTTGGTGGTCAGTTTTTAGCTATCACTCTTGCCTTGTTCTACGATGTTGATTTCCTTTTGCATCTAAATGAGTAAAGAGATGAAAATATCAAAGTAAAATGTGCTGGTTGACGTTGTCCTATTTATATTTGGCATCTTTGGAAGGTTGGCCAACTCTAGAAATCACAAAAGGAAGTTTCCTGGCCAATATAAGAGTTTAAGAAGAGAAGGATACAATTTGGCAAAAGTAAATATCTGTCCACAGTTTGACAGGATAACCATCATTATGCAGTGGAAATCAGTGATTTAACACATGGTGGATTTATTTGCAACCAGCAGATTCCGTTAAGGCTGCGTGACCAGCAGCTATTGGCTACCCTTCTGGCAATTTATTTGAGTAAATTTGTTGTTACTAGTGATTTTTCTCTTTTCTCCTATTCTCATCTTTCCTTCAAAGGTTAATACGTCGAGAAATGAGGTCTCTTCTATTCTGTTTTCTTTTGTTTTGGCTCATGCTGTAAGTTCCCTGTTGTGCAGGGTTACTGGTGAATACATGGATACTGAAGCTGTTTAACAGGAAGATATCCAACCCTGCCCTAGGAGCTGAGATATCCATCCGTGCCCTAGGGAGTCGATCCAGTGATTTCGTTGCTGGAAACCTATTGCTGTTCTTTGCATATCTCCAAGCAGTTACAAGATCACCCGGTTATTGTCATTTTGTGGCAGTTGGGAAGTATGTTAAATTGATCTGTATATTCTACTAACAACATTTTTGGGGCTTACTCTGTAGGTGCAGTACCAGCTCGAATACTCAGTAGGGATGAATCTCAGTGATGTATTGTTATAGTTAAAATTATGTAATAGTGAAAAAAAAGACGTATATCATCATGTTGAACTTCATTAATTATGATTAGTGATTTTATCTCTCCAGTCGATCTGTATCATACATCTAGTGACAAGTAGAGAATGGGGTGCCATAACCATCTCCGCATTAATTAAACAAGTAAAAAGAAGTTTACTGTAAAGTGATAATCAAACATATATGTACAGGTAGGAATAAAAATGATAGCTATTCTGAGCTGCAGAACATGCAGAAAAATGATTGATTAAAAACAGGAGGGTCAGGTCAACAAAACAGCCATTTTATTCTTTTGACCAGAATTAAAAAAGCATAACACATCATTTATCAATTGACTTAATTATCCGCCGAGGATATTTGAATCCAAAATTAAATAAATTGATTCGATCTTTTTTTAATTTTATTTTTAAAAATCAATTTAATTAATTATTATTAGGACAACTTCAATCATTATTGTTGCTGTAAAATATTGGACCGACATAGGCCCAATAGAAATGATTCTGACAAACCAATCTTTGCTGGAAGTCCAGACTAGCACAAACCCAAAAAATAAATAAATTAATGAATAAGAAGCCTCTCTCGGAAAAAGAAAAATCCTAACGGCTCTTAATTAACATGCGGTGGCAGAAAGAATAAATGACCGTTGTGGGCCCTCTCTCTCAGCGTTGTTCAAAAATATATATAACGGTTAACTGACCATTCCTCACAAACACACACACACACACACACATTCTCAAGTTCTCTCTCGATCTCACAAAACTCAAAATCAGAGCAAATTACAGGAGTTTTGAGAGAGATTCAGTGGGAGAAGACATAAAGGTGTAATGGGTTCTCTTTAATTTTGCCAATGGGGTTTTCATTTGGTTGATTTAATCGAATTTTTACTGATTTAGAGTGTTTGGACGTGTTTCAGGATTCATCAAATTAAAATGACAGTTGAAGTGAAATCAGAGGAGACCCAGGTGGCTGCTGCTGCTGCTGCTGCTGCTGCTGAGGTGATTGTTACGAAAGAAGGAGGAGAAGAAGTTGTTTCGAAGGAAGTTCAGCAAGTGAAGGATGTGATTGCTGAAAATGGCGATGAATCTAAGAGCAACTTGGTTGAGAAGAGTTCTTCTTACAGGGAAGAGAGCAACTTCGTCTCTGATCTCAAGGATTTTGAGAAGAAGGCTTTGAGTGAACTGAAATCAAAGCTTGAAGAAGCCATCCTCGGCAACAAAATCTTCAAGAAACCAGTGTCCAAAGACGAACCAGCCCCAAAGGAAAGTAAAGAGAAGGAGAAAGAAGAAGCAAAAACAGAGGAGGATGCGGAAAAAACTGAAGAGAAGAAGGAGGAAGAAGAGATAAAGGAAGATGAAAACAAGGAAGAGAAAAGCAATGAAAATGCTGAGGAGGTCGAGAAGAAGAATGATGATGATGTTGAAGCTGTGGACATGGATATCTGTATTTGGGGAATTCCCCTTCTGTCTAGCAAAGGGCACGAAGGAACTGATGTTGTTCTGTTGAAATTCTTAAGGGCCAGGGAATTCAAAGTCAATGATGCGTTTGAGATGTTGAAGAAGACCCTTCAATGGAGGAAAGAAATGAACCTGGATTCGATTCTCGAAGAAGAACTCGGGGACGGTGATCTTGCATCAGTTGCTTACATGAATGGGATTGATCGTGAAGGCCGGCCGATTTGCTACAACATCTTTGGAGTTCTGGATGATGAGGAGCTCTACAAGAAGACATTTGGAACAGAGGAAAAGAGGACTCAGTTCTTGAGGTGGAGGGTTCAGGTTATGGAGAAAGGTATCCAGAAGCTTGATTTCAAGGCTGGTGGTGTCAATTCCTTGATCCAAATCAATGATCTCAAGAATTCTCCTGGACCATCTAAGAAGGAAGTTCGGATTGCTACAAAGAAAGCTGTTTCGCTTCTGCAGGACAACTACCCTGAATTTGCTGCCAAAAATGTGAGACTTTTACAGCATTTTCATCACCAGAATTTCTTAATTACACCTTTTTTATTGTACTTTTTGTGATTTTTTTTTTAATCAAATGTTTGCAGATATTTATCAATGTTCCCTATTGGTATTACGCTTTGAATTCAATGTTGTCACCATTTTTAACCCAAAGAACCAAAAGCAAATTTGTGGTTGCTCATCCTGCAAAGGTCACAGAGACTTTGCTCAAGTAAGTGTAGAATTGTAGCTTTTGGTTTACTTTTTAAGTGTAGAATTGCAGAGAACTGTAGCTAAAAAGCTTTGATTTTGGTAATAGGTATATTCCAATTCAAGAAATCCCTGTTCAGTATGGTGGTCTGAAAAGAGATGAAGATTTCGAGTTTTCGACCATTGATGATGAAGTTTCAGAAATCATAATCAAGGCTGGATCAACGGAAACTGTTGAAATCCCAACCCCAGAGGTACTGTGAAATTAACCTGTTTGATTATTATTAGCTTCACAATTTGATTGGAATTGGAAGGACTTCCTATTCACTCACTGTAACCTGAATTTTTTTTATTTGAATATGGCAGATTGGGACTACATTCATCTGGGATGTGGCAGTACTTGGTTGGGAGGTGAACTACAAAGAAGAATTTGTGCCAACTGATGAGAATTCATACACCATCATTGTGCAGAAGGAGAAGAAACTGGCCTCCAATGCCGGACCAATTCGCAAGACTTTCAAGAACCATGAACCTGGGAAAATCGTCTTGACGATTCAGAACACTTCGAGCAAGAAAAAGAAGGCGTTTTATCGGTACAAGTTTAAGAAATCCAGCCTGTGAAGATTCATTCTTTAGTAGTTTGATGGAAACAGATTAAACCTGGCAACAACCAACTATCTTCATTCTTTTTTTTTTTTCAAGTTTAAGATTCTTTCCTAGGTATTAGTTCCATTTGTTTGATTTCTCATTTCTGGAAGATCAATTCATTTGAAGCGCTCTTATATATCCATTCTTTTGCTTGTATTAAGATTCATTGGTCTGTAAATGAGTACTTCTGTTTGAAGCTAAAATTTTTTTTGGTATCTTATAAATTCATCTATATTCAATCCATGTGGTGAAATCTATGGTCATATGCAGATGCCTTCCTTCTATTCTACCCCTCCTTTATCATCATCCTTGAGAAGTCTCGCAACGATTCAGAGGAGTCGCGTATTTTACCTTTTTCGCATACCCGTATAGCTTGAAATTCATTTCTTTCCATTCCACCGTTCAAAAGTTTGAAAGGTGTCTCACCAGGTTTCTTACAAGCTCCATTGATGAAACCTCCTAACTTCGAGTTTCTGAAAGCGGTTATCTGAGGCAATCACGCTTCCTGTAAAAACCACAAAAGGCGTGGCAATTTTGAAGGAAACTGTCACGCTTTTAGAAAGTACAAGTAGAAAATTAGAAATTCCACACTCGCGCCTCTACAGCTTTCATTTGTCGTCTCCATTGCTCATGTTCTTTCCACTGAACTTAACGACACTCATTTGCGATTCCCAGCCAGCCATGGAAACTCTGCAATCAATTACTTCTCTTTCTCAAGAAATTTCAGACATGAAGAATCCCCCAAAACCATCATCCGGGACGAATTCATAATGGACTTTGGTTCCCCGCTAAAACCCTTGTTCCATTCCATTTAGTGTATCGAAATTCTGGCTGATGTGATTTCAATTCCGAAATTCATGGAATCTCATCTCAGGATTTCTTCCAGAAGGGATGATTGCGCACACCATAGGGCTCTTTTTCGGTGCTTGGTTTCGTCTGGGGACGTGAACGTGTTCAAGTACGATACCAGGTATTTCTCTCTTGCCGCCTTGTTTGGACCTGTTGCCATTCCTATTGAATAAACCCTTGTGGAGAGTCGTGTTATGATTAGTAGTAATAGTTCTCTTGTGGGTTGCTCAAGTGGTCTTGTTTTGTGTTGACGCGAACCAGGAATTCTTTTTTTTTTTTTCTTTTGTGGAACCCCGCAATTAGGAAGTTTAAGAAATTGGCTGATTTTGATACTAAATCCAAAAACCAATGGTTCAAACGTCAAGGTTTGTTTGAGTACAACGAGGTTGATGATGATTATCAAGTGTATGTTGTAGCAAGTGGTCATTCTGGGGAGAATTGGACTGATTTGTACAGTTGGAGAACGAACAGTTGGAGAAGGATTGAAGGCTTTGTCTGTGATTGGACTCAGGCGTTTGTGGTTGCTCATGGGAGGCTGTATAGGGCAAGCCGTACTAGTAGAGGTCCTTGATTTGTTGCTTTGACTTGAAGAGTGAGAGATATGCAACGGTGGAACAACAGGATTATGGTAGTAAGGGTACTTTTTAGTGTGGAGTTGGCAGTCTTGGAAGTTTGTCTGGCTATCATTTGTTATTATCTCACCAGACATGTGGATCTCTGGATTCGGAAGGAATCTTGGACTAAAGTGCTTTTGGTTCCTAACTTTGAGGATCCCAGCCGTAAGAAGTCTTGCATGCCAATTTTCATGTCGAAGGATGGGAAATTTCTTTTTAGGTACTGGAAATCCATGGCTATTTCGGATCCAATGATGAAATCAGTTACATACCCCCTTGTTTGTTTCATGAATGAACTTTGGGAAATGATGGTTGCTGTTGATAGTTTGGTTTTGGTAAATGATCATGATTCAAAAGGGCCAGTGAAGAAAACTCGGTCTCTCATTGACCCGATTGTGCAGCACCTTGAGCCTAATCAAGTAGTATAGGTATCATCTCTGCTGCCATGCTTCTTCTACCCTTAACTATACTTAAAATCTTATCTGCTGTTACTTGTTTTGCAGTGGTTCTTACTCTAGCTGGTAAAGTTAGTGCTTATGCATTCATATCTTACTAAAAGCATGGAGGAAGAGTAATAGTCAGTGGGAATTCCTGGTATTGGAAACTTTCATTTCATTTTTGTTCACATTGTCTTCATATATATTGGACAGCACGTTTTTGGTATAACGTCTGCCATACTACCTCTTTTTTCAATTGGTAGCTCCCAAATAGTTCTTTACACTTCGTGTTCCCGCTTTTGGTGTTTGCCCTTTTTACCCCTTTTGGTACAAGATAACTGGATTTTGGAATCAACTTATCTTTGTGCCACTATGGTGATTTGCTGTTGCAAAATTGGGCCACTCCTTTGGGGGCTTAAAATTTTCTGACCAATTTGCAGATTCCATCTTCCCATTTAAATTCATAAGATCCTAGATGCAGAACACTTTCTGAATGTGAAGTTTATGAGATAGGACCTAATGTAAACCCTTGAGCTTCATTGAAATTAATTCTTATACCTAAAGACTTTCAACTCCACGGCTTTATTGTATAATTTGACGCTACTATCGTAGAAATACCTCAGCCGCTTACTTCGTAAGTTAAATTCAGGTTCATCTTTGCTCCTGGTACATTCAGAGATGAACTATTTGCTTTTACTATGAATCAGCTGCATATACTGTTGGCAATTTGTTTGCCTAAACTGCTTCTCATATACTGCTGTCTAGTTTTTGTAATTTGATGGGGAAGCTGATCATCATTCTTAGTGTAGTTTGTTAAATTGGGTTTTTTACAAAAACTTAGAATATTCGTTGTTTACTGATTGTTATGTTCCTTTATTGTTTTGATAATTAGAATTCAAGAAATACAAATGTCGAACCATGACGCTCGTAATTAATCCCTGCGTAATTGGTTTGGGACCTCTTACATTTATTCGTAGTGGTCTTTTAAACTCTGTTATTTCTTTATTTTTTGTATTATTATTTGATGTACCAGTTTCTTCTATAGTGTAAAACAGTTTACAGTATTCCACTCTCCTAGTCATGCATGCACTTGCTCGCCCGGTTTCTATCTCAATGATGGGACTCGGCATGGTTTGTGTTAGTCCATGGGTGACTGGTATATGTGGTGGTGTCTGTTCCTAAGTTGTTGGCTGAGCTTATTATGAACTTGACCCAAACGAATGTGACAGTAGTTTCGTTGTTTGGTTAGTGCACTGTCCCTAATTTGGTTTCTGCATAGGGCAAAGCTAAATTTTTGTTAGGATTCAGACTCTTTGAAGGAACCACATCTTATGCCATCTCATAGTTGTTTCTCGGCATGGTTTGTGTTAGTCCATGGGTGACTGGTATATGTGGTGATGTCTGTTCCTAAGTTGTCGGCTGGGCTTATTATGAACTTGTAGTCCCAAATGAATGTGAGAATAGTTTCGTTGGCTGGTTAGTGCACTGTCCCTAATTTGGTTTCTGCATAGGGCAAAGCTAAATTTTTTGTTAGGATTCAGACTCTTTGAAGGAACCACATCTTATGCCGTCTCATAGTGTTTCTTTTGCTAATACTCCCTCCGTCTCGAAAATTCTAGTCCAGTTTGGAATTTTATTTTTAGTACAACATGAATTAAAAGTAAAAATCCAAACTGGATGAGACAATGAGAGTACATTGGAATTCTAGAAGTAATACATGACTAGAACGATAGTGACTTGAGATTGTGTGAAACGTGGATAAGCTCTATGTGGTGATTTTTCTCCTCTGCATGCTCGTTTGAGAGCAAGGATTACTCTGGTTTTTAATGCTAAATGTGCTGGTGATCCTAAAGCAAGCTTTTCACATTTTTATTGTTTTGTTTTTTGGTGAAATTAAGCAAGAGATTAGCTGCTTGCTTTATGGTACTGGGTCTCCATAGACATCAATTAGTAAATAAACATTCTTTTCGAATTGACTGGCCTTTTAACAAAATTATCAATCAACAATTTGATAGTTAAGTAATTAAAACATTGTTCACCAGAAAGTGATTGAAAGCATCTTTTGCTTATTGCGTATCCAATTAGACATATTCAAGGAATATTGTTCGGTTTACTTGTCTATCAAAGTTAATATACATCTTATGAGAAATCTCACATCAACAACTATCAACCTATATTAATTAGCAAGAACTTTGGTACCTACTTGACCAGTTCAAGTAAAAAATGCCCACATATATATCTATACTCCGTGTTGACAAAAAATCCTTTATGAGTTTTTTTGTGTTATATTTTATGCGATTGTTTTTTTTCCTTTTCTAGGAAAAGTTTTCTTCATTTGTTTTAGAAAATATCAGCAAAAATAAAAGATTAAAAAAAGATAAAAATAACTTGTTAGAATATATAGGGTTAATATTATGGACCGGGAACTGGGAAGTGATCTTTATTTTGTTTTATTAATAGAAAAAAAATTTGAAAGTCTGAAGTCAATGATCTACACCCTCCTAAGTTGTGGTTACTGGTTTAGTGATAAAGATGTAGAACTCAGGAATTGATAATTTCAACATATATCTTTTTCAGAAGGAAATTAAATTAAATGAATTTTAATTGGTTCTATAGGAACAAGATAGTTTTAGTATTAGGACCGATGGTGATAGATTTTAACGATTAAAATTCAAAGTCATCAAAAGAATTACCCATTTTCTTCAAAATGGAATGACAGTATTAATTCGATATAATCGTGAATAAAAAACCCCATAATCATCAAACAATAGAACAATAATCGTCGAATTTCCCATGTCATTAGTTATTCAGTGTCTACAATTTCCCGATCAACTTGGGAAATTCTATAATCTGGCTATATTATTACTTACTTCCCTTTTTCGATCTTCATGGAAGCACTGGGATGCTTTGCTCGTTCCTAAAGAAATTGTCAGGATCAACCACCGTCTTAATTCTAACCAGTCTGTTGAAGTTTTCCTTCAAGAAGTACTTAACCCCATAAACTCTTCCTTCCCTGTAATTCTTAATCTTACTCTTCCCATTGCGATTAATTCCGATATCAAGATCCCTGTAATTCAGAAAATGTTCCCTGGGATTCTTGGAAACATATGGCGTCATATATGCAAACAGCTCATTGGTCACTTTGAGGTAATGCTCAGCTGTGTGAACACCACTTTGATTCCAGTTTGTCGCATACTGAATCTTGGCAATATTCCCTGCTCGATGGGGAAAGGGTTTCGCCGTCGGCGAAATCTCAGCCATCTTTCCTCCATAAGGATTGAAAGTAAGAACAGGTGTTTCAAACTCAATCATTTTCTTGAAGATGAATTCTATGCCTTCAATTGGCATAGGTTTCTTCAAGTAGTCGGATTTCCTCTTGAGATGAGTTAAAACTTGGGGTTTTCTGTCGAGAAGAGCCTCAACTGGAGTTCCAGCTGGGAATCTTGTATAGTAAACAACAGATTCAGCCCAGTTCATCTCAGTACAGTCACTTTTCTTCAATCCCAATTCAGGGAAACTCTTATTCATCACAGAAAGAAGCCTTTCTGAATCTCCAAGGAACATCGCGAAGAAAGCCGATCGAATCGTCTTAGCATTTGGTGTATCCGTTGTAGTATCGTTAACCACATCTATAATCATCCTGATGAAGAGATCATCATCTAATTTATGAGCAATTTCTTGCCATCTCCGGACCAAATAAGTCGCGTTTTCCGCGTAAGTCCTCTTGACGTTAAAAACTGTAACAACCGGAGGAACCCGAACGATGTGGATCTTGTACGAGACTACGACACCAAAGCTGGCGCTTCCGCCTCCATTGATGGCCCAAAACAGGTCTTCCCCCATCGCGGCCCGGTCCAGAAGCCGTCCATTTACGTCCACTATCAGAGCGTCGAGGATGTGATCGACCGACAGGCCGTGTTTCCTCATCATGTTACCGTACCCGCCTCCGCCAAAATTCCCACCAATTCCGACAGTGGGACAAACTCCGTTCGGGAAGCCGTGGACTTTGCTTTTGTTGTAAATACCGTACAACACTTCCCCAATCATGGCGCCGACTTGCACCCAAGCGGTTTCTTCTTCCATGTTCAGGTCGATGGACTTGAAGTTGAAGAGATCCAGGATGAAAAACGGGGAATCGGCTACATATGATAGGCCTTCGTAGTCGTGGCCGCCACTTCGGATTTTCATCAACATGCCGTACCGTTTTGCGCAGAGGATGGATGATTGTATGTGGGAGATTTTTGTTGGGGTGATAATGAGGTAGGGTTTACGGGTTGTGGTTTCATTGAAACGTAGGTTTCTAATGTATGTTTGCAAGATGGTGGAAAATGAAGAGTTGTTTGGTGTGTATATGAGTTCCGAGATTGGTTCATTGGGCAGTGATTTTTCGTTTAGGCATTCTACGAATCCCTCATGAACACTAGTATTAAAATGAGAAGCAGAAGCTGAAGATGATGCGAGAAATAGGTCTGAGAGGCATAACAAGGATGCCAAAAGGATGGTGTTGTTTCTCATCACTGCCATAATTTGGAAATTTGAGACGTTTGTTTTAGGTTTGAAATTTGTTGATTTCGGATGCAATTTATAGCAGGCTTTGGTCCCAAGCAGGCAAAATTTTCCTTGAAAATTTAAAAAATGACGAATAAAGATTTCAAGATAATTTGTTGAGGAAAGGCAAGAAAATTTGTCCATGAAAATTTCAAAGGATAACTATGATAAGTGTTACTAATGTACTATCATGTTTCATTTGGGTAGTTTGACATAGATAGGTTGAATAATGAGAATATTCTTTTGAGTTGAAATGTGTTCCCTTTGTCCCAAAAATAGTGAATTTTTTTTCTAAAAAAATTTATTCAACTAAAAAAATGTAACAAAACTGATTTGGGAGACGGAGAGAGTATGAATATAAAGGTTATGCAAAACGAAAAATTCTTAGACGCGTTGTAAAGAGTAGAAATTCGTAATATGTTTCATTATTCCGTAAATCTCACACATAAACCTAAACTCTTTAACTAACCCTCCCTACTCAATTTCTTGTGATAGTCCTATTTTTTTTTTTTCAATTAATAAAATAGCCAATCCCATCTATCTTTCTTGTGGACCTCGCAAGTAATTTTCTTCTAGTTATTTTGTTCTAATTAGGAAAAAAAATTTTCGCTACAGAAACAACTTTCATAAAGATAATTCACATTATCCTACTAGAAACTATCTTATAACTATGTGTATTTGTTGAAGTCATAAATTTTGCATCTAAAATTTTATCTGGTTTTTAATTGCAAACATAGATTTAGACCATATATATATATATATATATATATATATAGATATATAAAGTAAGACTACGTAGTACGTAATGAATGCGTTTGAAGGAAGTTAAGGCGGCTTTATTTTAAATTTTCATCATGTAGAGTGTTTTAAAACTTCCATTCTAAACAGGCATCTGAAATTAGATGTATTCCAAATTGATCAAATTTATTAGTGGTTTTTCATTTGTTTTTAAATATTAAACTACTATTACAACAGCAGTTAGGGACTTTTCACAACTTCAACTACTAACTCTGATGGAATTTTTTTTTTTTGGGAGGAGGATGACGAGTCATAAATTAACCCTAGGCCTATTGGGCCTAGGATTAGGTTATTTGGTGATTAAGCCATTGCCTAAGTTTATTTCGTTAGGGTTTCAGGAAACAGGTAACACCATCTTTCTATAAAGAGATAGTGTCTTTCCCATTATTCATATCTTCTACCTACCTTCTACACCTTCTACACACGACACACATCCTTTTCTCTCTACTCTCTCTATCCTCTTATTGACTTAAGCATCGGAGAGTCTACCCTCGGGAGACACACCGGCTCTGTCTTGTAGGTTTTAGGCCGTCCGTCACCACCTAGATCATCATTGCCGCCCGTCCTAAGGCACCGTGTAGATCCATGCTTCGTCAAGTGGCACGCCCGGTGGGACCGATTTGTTTGGTCTTCACAACCAAATAAATTTTTTGAAACGAAGCTGAAAATTCATATAAGCTCTCAAGTCATTCGAAACAAGAGGCAATTTCGAGGATTGAAGTTTCGAGAGATACATCTCCTCGAAGGGGCAAGCATCTATCGAGCAATACACTACTATTCGAAGTGTTCGCGAAAACGTATCTCGACTTTCATAATATCTTCTCTGAATCGAGGTAACACCTTCTCGATTAATTAATTTATTACGAGATCGAGGTATTTCTAAAACCTTTTCATGCTTTAATATCTGATATCATTATCATATTATTATCATATCACGATATCTTTTTGAGCACGATCAAAGGAATTCTTCAAGTTACCAACCCTCTCGCGGTAAAACCCTATCACCCTTCAACTAGGAAAACGTACTCGGGGGCACAAACAGGGACGTACCCTTGGGGCATGGAATTCGAGGAATCATCCTAATATCCTCTGCTTGAATTGATATTCTTTACGAGCATCTTATTACTATATGTCATTCATTTATCATTATTGCAATATCTTTGTCGAGTTTAATGGCAGGATCCACAAGTTTGAGCTACTCAAGCTCAATCTTCTAGAAGTCCTTATGCACCTTGTTCCTTAGAAAACCACCACCTATCGACCATTGTCCTTCCGAGGACCTCTTTCTGCCGATCATTGTCTTCTCGAGAACCCTTCTCCAGCGACTACTCATCCATTCAAGAATCGTCCTCTCACGGACCATTGTCTCTCATCGAGACCGTCTTTTCATAGACCTTAGTCCTCTTGAAGAATGTCATCCATTCGAGGACAGTCCTCTCACGGACCATTGTCTCTCATCGAGACCGTCTTTTCATAGACCTTTGTCCTCCTGAAGATCATCCTTTAGAAAGACCTTCCATTGTCGACCATTGTCCTTCCGAGGACCACCCCTTGTCGACCTTTGTCTTTCCAAGAACCCCGTCAGCATCGACCCTTGTCCCCTCGAGGAGCTTCTTCTGTCGACCATCACCCTTTTGTTCATCTTGCAGGAACATCATGTTCGAGAACTGGGGCAACATTACAAAAGTCGAGAAGCCATCAAAACTCCAACCTCGTACTCGTAGCAACCCATATTTTTCTCATCAAGCATCAAGAATATGACTTGCTAGGGGCACTTGACGAGTCATAAATTAACCCTAGGCCCATTGGGCCTAGGATTAAGTTACTTGGGGATTAAGCCACCGCCTAAACCTATTCCGCTAGAGTTTCAGGAAACAGGTAACACCACCTCTATATAAAGAGTTGGTGCCTCTCTCATAATTCATATCTTCTACCTACCTTCTACACCTTCTGCACACGATACACATCATTTTCTCTCTATTCTCTTTATTCTCTTATTGACTTAATCATAGGAGAGTCTACCATCAGGAGACACCCGAGGCTCTGCCTTGCAGGTTTTAGGCCATCTGCCACCGCCTAGATCATCATTGCCACCCGTCCTAAGGCACCGTGCAGATCCATGCTTCCTCACAGGACATGATTACTTAGTAAAACACTTGACAATTTCCATTGAGGTCCGTCCCTACAATTCAGCAAGGGGAATTAGTCATTGTTACTGACGGTGAACACCCTCCAAATATGCAAAAGAATCACTTGAAAATTTCCAAAGAAATAAAAAAAAAAGTAAACGACTTGACTGACTTTTAACAAAAACGATCAACTAATCAAAGTTTGGTAGACACGTAATTAACCCAACATTGTTCACCAAAAGTGATTGCAAGCATCTTTTGCTTGTTCATTATATATGCAGTTAGACCAATTCAAAAAAGGACTTGTTTCTATCATTCATCAAGTATGACATATATGGAATGCGAAATTCATAAATTTCAACCAATGAGAATTTATCAACCCATATTAATTAACTTGATAATGATACTAGTTTGACCTATTCAAGTCTCAAAATGCTTGCATGCACATAGTTCGTGTTAACAAAAGATCTCCTATAACATTAATTTGTGGTTTTTTTTTTTCACAAAAAGAAATAGTTATTTCCGTAACATATGATAATAATAGCTTAAAAAGCACTGAGAAAACCTTGAAAATAAAAGACAGGGAAAAAATATCAGAGGAATGCCTTGTAACGAAACCACTTTGTAAATGTTTTTTGTCCCTTGGTGGTAATATATTTTGCCTGTTTACCAAAAAAAAGAAAAGTATCAGAAACAATGTTCACTTCAAGAAAACAAGTAATGTACCGCAGAATTAAACAGGGAAATCCTATTCGTATTTAATTACTTTGATTTATACACGAATCAAAAACGAATAATGCTACAGCTAAAGCTGATATACATAAAATTAGAATTCAATAAATTATTTCAAAAGTTAAAAAAAAAAAATTATTCTTATTTGAAACTATAAGACTCAGATGTTAGCAGATGATACCACAAATTTAAATTGTGTTTCTATTCACTTTTCTGTTAAAATTTTGTGAAAAAACCTAACGGCCAACCTTATTCTAAGATATGCACAAGCCATTTTCCTACCTATCACTAATTCTTATGGAGATTAAGGTAACACTAGGAAAGTGGCGGAGAGCGCACGGGAGAGAGAGAGACGCTTTTCACTCGTGTTATACTGCTTATAAAAATCCATCCTTAAAATGGAATTCCAACCTATATAAAAAAGGTCAATCCTTTTTATTAAAAAAAAAAAAGGCCAATCCTTGTATCAGAATGTATAGTAAAAATTAATTTTTGCTCCATTCCTCCTCTTATGATTTTTTTTTTTTAATTAGAAATCAACTTGAACAACTTTCTGAAACATATTAATTATAACATGAACACAAGCACTAGTTACTGAGATCGAAGCGGCAAAACTAAGATTAACTCTTGATTAACTCCAAATTAAGAAAGGCTTAATGCATCCAAGTCTGCTGGTGTTTTGTCTCAATTCAAGATTTTTCTTTCTTTTTCTTTTTTAATGTCTTTAAAATTACGATTTATTTTTTTTTTATTCAAGATTAAAAGTATATATTGGAATTTGAAAATACTGGAATGAAAAAAAGGAAACATCTTTTTTTTTTTTAGAATAATAGTTGAAGTTTCTAGTTTTTCCTAAAATCTAGAGTTTCGTGATATTTGAAAGTTTTGGAATTTTGAATTTCCTGTACAAATAATATTTATAATTTTTGACTCTTTTATTAATTTAGAAAATATTGCTGCAAAATTTCTTTGAATATAATGAAAATGCAAAGAAAAAGGATAAATGACTTCCGAAAATTTAAATAAAATTAAAAAATACCCCTTGACAAAAACATATACTCCCTCCATCCAATAATTATTATCCAGTTTTACTAAAATGAAAGATTTTATTTTTGGTCAAACTTAACTATATTTTACCTTGAACAACCGGATATACCCCTATATAAGTAATTGTTTAACCATAAAGATTTTATGGATAATGTTTTTTACTAAGGACAAATGTGTAACTTGATCCATAAAAAGTCAAATTGGACAATAATTTTGGGACAAAATTTTTTTAGCAAAGTGGACAATAATTATGGGACGGAGGGAGTAGTTTGGATGTCAAAAGTGCACTACAGTTTCTATTTAAGTATTTAACGGAAAAAACGAATAAATAATAATCAACTTCAATGCAACAAGCTGATAATATAGTGCTCTATTTTGTGGGTTGCCTTTATATAAAAAAAAAAGAAAAAATAAAAATGTTTGTTGAATTTAGGGGGGTTCAAAAAAACCGACACCAATTAACTGAACCAAAAACCGACATAAAACCAAGCCGAT